TACATACATGCACGCACATGCCAAATTTGACAACCGTACCTTTGGCACGTGCCGTAGGCATGGCAGTGCTAGGGGGGTCTGGGGGCTGCATGCCCCCCCCACGAAATTTGAACCATTTAAGCCATTTTCCTGCAATCTGAGGCATACTGTGGGCCATATTCTCATGTCTGATGACACTATCTCAACCCTAGACTCAACCCTACAAGTTAGGATTCAAAACACTTTTTCTCTTCTCTCTCTCTCTTCTTTTTGGCCGGTCGTTTTGGGGGGGGGCGACCGCCCCCACCGCCCCCCCCTGGCTACGCGCCTGCCTGTATGCCATGGTATACACGGTGATTTCACCCAATGGAAAACCACTCGATTGGCAGCTGCAGCAACAAAGCTCCTATATCCACCTAATTCTTTCACACCTTGCAAAAACCTACCTCAGTACCTGTTTATTCCAGCTAAATCTGTTCCTAGTGAACGTGTGTTTCCAACAGCTGGGAATATTGTAACAGCCCAGAGGGCCACCCTTGCAAGAAAGTTGCCAAATTTAAATTTACAAAAAACCATGAAAACGTAATTTTGAAACTTGAAGAGTTAACCTTATTAAGGCTAATAGAGGCTATTGCCATGTTACAGTAATATCAGAAGTAGATAATAGGGAAGTAGTTCCCTATTATCTACTTCTGGTAATATTCAACAAGTGTGAACTATATTTAGTAAAATAGTACTACCATTTATTGATGCTGCTCTTTATCTTTACCATGCAGGCTTTAGCAGAGAATCCAACCCTGCCATTCATATAGCACAGTGGATCTACACATGAAATGAAGAAAATAGACACACTCCACATCCATCAAAGATGAACATACTGTGTGGAACAAAACTTATAATCAATTGGTTGTTAATCAAAATCAATCAGTGGAGGTGATATGCAGTGTTAATTTCGCAGGGAAGTATCAAGGAGTGTGCTATACATTGTCTGGATGAAATGTGTAGAAGATGTTCATTGGATTATGTCACCGTAACATTACCAAAGTGCACGTCATATTTTACGACGTTCGTTTTAGCAAAACATTGACTTCAAAGGCATAAGAAATAAAGGTCATCTGGCAATTAAGTCTCCCTAGAAACAGCAAGTGTAAACGTGAACCAATTTTAATTGTATTTATAGTGAGAGCTAGAACAGTAAACTGTGTGACCATATTTGCAAAATCTGCATGTTTTGTTTTTCACTTCATTACACTGTTTGTTGTTGATATCACTTATTAAGAATTTTGAAGCTTTGCCTAACATAGTTTTAGTATACATCAGGGGTAGAAATAAGGAGAAAAAAAGAGATGGACCACAGTACCATCTAGTTTGAAATTATGATGGTCCTCTTAAATTTCCAATTGTTTTCATTGTTACATCATGCCAAATATTTGCTATGGTCAACACTGGATTAGCAATAATCGAAACGTGGAAACTTCAAAGAAAATTACCGTAAAATGGGACCAAAATATTCAATGGTCCGTTGGACCATTGACTTTGAAAATCTGATGGTCCTGATTATTTAATGGCCCCGGACCATCGGACCATAGCTTATTTCGACCTCTGTACATCTAGGGTTAGAGGCAGAGGGTGCGGGGAGGCAGCCCCTTTTGTTTTTTAGGCCCTGTCAGGGAAAAATCGGTAACTCATCAGGGCAGTTTCTTTTTATCTACACTCATTTATGAAATTCATTGGCAGTATGAAGGGCTGATTTATCTGTATATTGATACTATATATTACAATATATCAATAGGCATAGACAATTATTTCTGGCTAAAAACGCTTGAGACTCCACTTTGTGCCTTTAAATTGAAAAGTTAATTCAGATCCCCTACTTTTAGCTATAGTATTTAGCCGCTTACTGCCCCCCCCCCACCTGTCTGGTGCCTCTTCCTGTCTTATTGAGATCCTGGCTGACACACCACTCCACCCTGCTCACCCAACCATGAGGCAATATGAAGTTCCACCTCCTGCGTACATCACACAGTGGATCACACCCGAAAAGAGGTATTTTTGCTAGTAATTAAACTTCATTTACGCACACACTTGTCCCCCGGGGGTGGGGGCACTCACCCCACATTATGGTAGGTATGTGCCACTGCGAAATCAAAACTGAGGGGCTTTGGAACTAACTCGGACCTGAAAATGGGGGTCTCTGGAACTAATGTTTGTTGAATGTGGATGCTTTGGAACTGGCTATGTTCGAAAATGGGGGTCTCCAGAACTAGGATTTCGTTGAAATGCAATGCTATGAAACTGGATCGGCACGTTTAAAAGAGGCGCGGGGGCTCCGGAACTAGGATTTTGTTGAAATGCAATGCTATGAAACTGGACACGTTTAAAAGAGGAGGTCTCCGGAACTGTGGGTGTGGGTGGGGCCACTGTGATTTGCTTCTATCACAGTCTATGCTGTAGCACATGAACCAATAATTGTTTTATTATGTACAGGAGAGAAAAGCATGACCCAGACAGAGCTGACAGCACGCACACACACGCACGCACGCGCGCGCGCACACACACACACACACACGCACACACAACACACATGTATATCGAGCTTGTGAGAAGGGACGGGCACCAGTCTAGCCTTCACGGCCCGACTTCAACGTATTCTGAACTACGATGCACTAGACCGGAAATGTTAAAAACTATATCATAATAATAATAATATAATAATAATAATTATAATATGTTCATAGCAGGATTTGCATTAAAGATATTGTCAATGAAATCTTGTAAACGAACACCAGACGAGTGTGACACCACAGACTGTTTGTTATCTGCGTGTCTATATAATATGCTATATAATTGCCAAAACCCTACCTAATTTGCATAATTTTTTTTAAATTTCAAAACCCCTTGCCCTTATTCATTCACATACCAAAAATAAGCAAAATCCGTTGAGCCTGAACTGACTAATGGAAATTCCCATTTTTTGCCAAAAAATTGCCGTGGCTCGAAAGTACGTCGGCTGGGTGCTCCAAAATAGGACGTTTAATATGGGAGCATAGCAGTAACAACTATACCCAATTTCAAAAATGTGAGTCAAACGGTTCCTGTGTTATCGTTGACCGTAGCCTAATGTTGACGGACGGACGGACGGACGTACGACGGACGACGACCCATGGCAATAACTCAGCTTGACGATGTCAAGGTGAGGTGAGCTAAAAATGCAATGCACTGCAACGGACGTTTAGGGTGGAAAAAGGGGGGTCTCTTCCGCGGCACATACCTACCATGCAATCAGGAGTCTATAGATAGACATATTATATAATATTGATAGACTCCTGATGCAATATATATGGAGTGCCCCCCCCCCCCGGGACACTTCCACACAGGTCGTGCACATACATGTGTGCGTGTGCATTGCACACACGGACGCACGCACGCACGCACACACACACGCACGCACGCACGCACGCACTCTCTCTCTCGCAGTGCCTCTCTCTCTCAGTCTACTCAATGTTTATTTCGTGTGCGTAGTGCGTACACCCATAATCCCTATGATAACACAGCCTCACCACATACACACAAAATACACTATAAGGATAGAGAGTTATAGCGAGAGATGGAGAAAAATAATGATAGACGTATATAGGTACGCACGAATGCACGCTCGTACACGAGAACGCACGCATACGTACGCACGCACGAACGCACGCACCTACGCACAAGGTCGTACACGCACAGCATCGGGCACGCTCGCACGCGCAGTGAGAGAAGGGGGGGGGGGGAGCCAGAGATAGGGGTATACAGGGAGAAAGTGTGAGAAAGAAAAGGGGAAGAAAGCGGAGAGAATGAAAGTTATTGAATTTTCTTGAAAATACACGTTTATAATAGAGAGCGGAGTAGTAGAACTTCTAGCTTGTAATTACTATTATGTTCTCAAATATATGCCGCGGAATGTCATGTTAACTAGTTTCAGACCAATATATCTTGTATTATGATCCTAAATGTATACCGCAGAATGTTAATTATATTTATTTGCATACCGTTATCACATCTTGGATTCAATATTATCATGAATATATGACGCGGAATGTAGCGTTAATTATTTGCATACCGATGCCATGTCTTGTAATTACTACTATCCTAAATGTTTTCCATGGATTGTCATGTTAACTTTGGGTCCACAAACTGTCTGTGATGGCTAAGATATATTTCTATAATAGGTATATATCTATTTCTATGAATATAACTATATCTAGCTCATTGGAGATCTTTACGCAAACCATAGATATATACAAACAGTACCCGGCATATAAGCTGTATTCAATTCAGTCCAATTCAATGACATTGTTTTCGCAATTATTTTAGCAATTAATTTAGAGAGCACACACCCACCCTCATCTACTGACTAGTCGTAGTAATAAGTAGTATTTTATCGCTTTCCATGGTTTCCACTGACAAGAACGGACTCCCAGCACTCACTTTTATAATCATAAGGTGCCTATAGTTGGATCAAATATCCCAGTAGCAAAGCAGAAGACCATTTTCGCGCATGCCCACTATATCTTCAATATAAAATAATCGTTTATCCGAAATATGGAGACAATGTACTGATCGCAGCTAACATTAACGTTACGTATATGTATTCTGTGTATACGCACGCACGTGTACGTGCACACGCACGCACGCACGCACGCATGCATGCACGTGTACGTGCACACGCACGCATGCATGCACGTGTACGTGCACACGCACGCATGTGTCCGTGCACACGCACGCACGAAGGTGTGCGTGCACGCGCACGCACGCACGTGTACGTGCACACGCACGTACGGCGTACGCACGCACGCATGCACTCTTACGTGCACACGCACGCACGCACGCTCGCACGTGTACGTACACACGCACGCACTTTAATCGCGTTTATCTAATATTAGCAAATGTGTAGCTGGTATAACTGTAAATAGTCATTTCTACTTTCTACCGGTAACAGCACTGATCTCTATAATAATAATTTTATTACAATAAGTGAGATCAGTGGCCCGGGCCCGGGGGCCCGGGTAACAGCCGCAAGGCTCTGCGCAAGCATTGGCGCAAGGCAGAGCGCAAGGTGATCAATTCCAGCACGCGCGCCTCGTAGTGGGAGAATCTAGAACTACGAGTAGAAATGACATTCTGTAGACTGGTACCCGGTCCCACCTATCGGCTTAGGGTTAGGGTTAGGGTTAAGGTTAGGGTTAGGGTTAGGCTACCATGCTACCACCCATCGAGTAATCGAGGTGGGAGCGAGTACCAGTCTATGACATTCTGTAGGTCTAAACCAATCATCTATCTCGTGACAAAAGCCGTCATCGGCATCGGCATTCGGCAAACATTGAAACAACCGACGATATGCAAAGTTACGAATTTGGATTGCATTTTCTCTAAATATCATAAATGTGATATTTATTAACATGGCAAGTGTATATGAACATATTTTTTAAAGATTATTGACTCGTTGAGATCGCTTTTATAGGTTATTGTGTGTGTATGATAAATTGTTCTTCGTTATTTCTATGATTATGAACTTGAAGTAGGCCTATCTAGCTCCAAGAAACGGTATTGCTAGGGTTAATATAGGCCTAGTCCGCAAATGCAGACGTTATAACTCCGCTTTGCTAATCTGAGGGTGCGGGTTTATCATTACTGGGGTCTGCGTCGGCTCGGACTAGGGTTAATAGAATGGACGTGGATATTCGTCCGAGCATCGGACACCTGTTTGTATCATGTATGTGCTATTCGTCCGAGCAGTTGTTGCGCATGCGCTGTTTATGTTGTATTACATAAATGTAATATAATGCTAGTCTAGGGTGGCGCCTACTCCCTAAACACGCCTACTCTCTAACCCTAATCCTAACCCCAGCCCTAACCCTAACACTAACTATAAACCGACTCGGTTCTCTTATTATACGCTCGGTTTCGTATATATACGCGAGTGATAGTACCAAACACTATCTATGGTGTATAACCACATACGCAACACATGTATGCAGGGGCGTCACAGCCGTAGGGCTGCCGTAGCAAAACGCTACGGGCCCCCAGCCTAAAGGGCATAAAATAATCAAAAATCTAAAGGGTAAATAGCATTTTAGAGCATCTAGATTTAAAAATTGTGGGGGGGGGGAGACCCCCCAGACCACCCCTTCACACTTCCTACCTACACCTACGGCACTCGTGCCCTGCACATGCGGCATGCAACATGAACAGTGCATGCGCAACAACTGCTCGGACGAATAGCACATACGAACAGGTGTCCGATGCTCGGACGAATATCCACGTGACGTCGTAATAGAATACCGTGTATAGACAATCCATCGCACAGCCTGGTCGGGCTATGAAGACGTATCATACTCTGACGAATATTTCTATGTATGACGCTATGATCATAAGGTTACCGATTTCAGGCGTTATGATTAAATTTCGCTCACCGCCAGTGTGTATTATGTATTGTATAAAAGTATGACAATTTTGTCAACTATATATGATCTGTCTTAGTGTCTATTTTATGAACTTTGTCTCGCTCCATCTTCAAAGTTCTTTAGATTTCGAAGACTTATCTTTATGAGGTTATATGACTGTGAGGCCAACAACTTGAACAAGATTTTGAACTATCGTCAGTATCGATATAATTATATACGATTAAGTTTGCAATTTTTACGAGTTATATTTTTTACACAATTTAGGGCGTGCTTGTTTGGTCGGATTTACGGATCTCGATCCACTGGATCGAACCCTAACCCAAACAAACGCAAAGTTGCTTTCAACGATTCGCGTTTCGCTGTGACCTATCATGGGATGGTTCAGAATCATAACAAAGAACAAGCTGTGATTGACTGAGGCGCGGGCTGCCATATTGGATCCCCTTCGAATCCACCTCGCTAGCAGGGTTGGGTTCGGTGGATTGAGATCCGTGGATCCGACCAAACAAACAGTCAGATCCACGGATCCGGTGGATCGAGATCCGTGGATCCGACCAAACAAACACGCCCTTATACACTTGTTCCACATTGTTTACAATGTGATGCACTAGTAAAATTCGAACTCGTGTGCCTCCAAGATTTCAACCTTTTCCATGGTACATCCTTAAAATGAAAACTATTATATATAGTATTTGTTCTAATATATTGTTGTAGAAAGCCTAAATTGCAGTATATAAGCAAAAGGGGGTTTCCCCGCTGCTTCCAACCCTTGCCTTGGTTTGAATATTGCCATCTTATCTTTCCTGGTATTAAAACTGAAGTTCAGATGTTAACGTAAATCTTGTCGCGTACTCTGGACTGACTGGACTCGTACTTTAAAATCGTATTAACCTTTAGTTGCATCACTCTGTACTGTACTGGTATCCTATTTACAGACATGAACTCACCAGCGGCTATGTGTGGTCTACCGTCTAGTCCCCAAATTGAGAGCAGACACATGTAAAGCCTATAGACCTGTACTCGTTGTGATACTATACTTTACCAGATACTACAAGCATAATCAAATGACATTGAATGACATGGTATGCAAGCAGGTAAAAATAACTCCAGTACAGGGAACACACCACAGGCTTTCATTTTTAAGGGGCGCGATCGCGCTCGCGCTCCACCGCGCACCCGAAATTGTGCCATGGTGCGCGCATCATCGCGCCTCATAAAAGTGGTTGAAATCGCGCACCAAAAGTATGTCTATTATGTTGAAATAGCGCTTCATAGAGTTCTCAATGTAGGGGTGTATGTGGTGTGTAAGTGACT